CCACCACAGCCTCCCAAAGTGCTGGGATTACAGGCATGAGCCATTGTGCCCAGCTGCAAACGAATTTTTAAAAATGCGTTAGATCAGTATTCATACCACCCAAAAACAGCCTGAGAGCCCACCATCACTGGGGACTCAGCGTTGTTTCCACCAAGCCCTCAACCCAGTGCTGGGCACGGACCTGGGAGGCTTGGCCCAAACCACCCTGCCCTCCGTTGGCAGGGCCGAGCTCCGTCTTTTCCTCTCAACAGCTCTTCCAAAGAGCAAGGCAGGATTTTCCTGGTGAGGGGCAAATGAAGCTGAGGCCAGACCCACCCCTGAGTCTTCCCTCTGCCACATCCAGGACCTGATGGGCGTTCTGAGGGGGGCCCCACCTTCACACTGAAGGCTGCCACCAAGGTGGTTGGCAAGAAGCTGAAATGGGCATTTAAGTCCGAACCTTGTTTTCAAAGGTGCCCATTTCCTGTTCTCAAAGTAATGCACCTGAGAAGCAATGGCAGGTGTCGCAGCCTACCCCCAACCCCCAGGGCCACCCAAACACCAGTTAGGACAACACCATCGCCAACAGGGGCTTTGCAGAACTTTTTTTTTTTTTTGAGATGGAGTCTTGCTCTGTCGCCCAGGCTGGAGTGCAATGGTGCGATCTCGGCTCACTGCAACTTCCGCCTCCCCACTTAAAACAATTCTCCTACCTCAACCTCCCAAGCAGCTGGGACTACAGGCGCCCACCACTATGCCCGGCTAATTTTTGTATTTTTAGCAGAGACAGTTTCACCATGTTGCCCAGTCTGGTCTCAAACTCCTGACCTCAGGTGATCTGCCCACCTTGGTCTCCCAAAGTGCTGGGATTACAGGCGTGAACCACCACGCCCGGCGCTCTTGTATTTTTTTTGTAGAGACACAGTTTTGCCATGTTGCCCAGGCTGGTCTCCTGGGCTCAAGTGATCCACCCACCTTGGCCTCCCAAAGTGCTGGGATTACAGGCCTGAGCCACCGCGCCCGGCCCAACCTTATTATTACTGAAGTCACCTTGTTACACACAAACATCGGCAATTCCTCCTGGTCACTCCTGGACTTCTCTTTCCTTTTTCTTTTTCTTTTTTTTTTTTTGAGACAGAGTCTCACTGTGTCACCCAGGCTGGAGTGCTGTGGCCGGATCTCAGCTCACTGCAAGCTCCGCCTCCCGGGTTCACGCCATTCTC